TGGTGAGGACGTCTCAGGCGAATCGCCCAGCCCGCCCTAACAACTGACTGTGGGATCTATACGGAAAAGGAATGGAGGAGGAGGAGGAGGAGGAGGAGGAGGAGGAGGAGGAGGAGGAGGAGGAGGAGGAGGAGGAGGAGGAGGAGGTGGTGGTGGAGAAGGAGGGGGAGGAGGAGGAGGAGGAGTAGGGAGGAGGAGGAGGAGGAGGAGGAGGAGTAGGAGTCAAGCTAGCCAGCTCGAGCGAGTCAAGCATGGCATGCCCAGTCCCACCCGCCCTCCCACAACATAAGAAGCAAAGCTGGCACAACTGGGGGCCGAAGTCACACCGGCCAGCCGGTTTGGTACAGCTGATGCGGCCGCGATGGCGGTTGCCGACGGGAACTGGCGAGCGCGTGTTGAATGCCGCGCACGCATTGCCAGACGAGTCGAGAATGGCCCGGTACACCGCAGGAAGCCAGAGGTGGCCGTGTCGAGAACGGCCCGGTAAGCCGGGTCCCATTCCTGCCATGCATTTTGCGACGTGGACGACAGGACGTCCATGCGACGGTGCCAATGACGGCGACGACTCTAGAAGGATTTGAGCATGCGCTCGCGGCGACGCGCGCGCATGTCGCCCGCGTGGTATTTTTTGCACAGGATTCGCGGCCTGGGTGCATGACAGAGCATCGCGAGTGCACCGCGCGATGACGTGAAATCGCTGGATTTGACCGAATTCTTAAGATTCCTATGGTTTTCCTATGATTTCAGCAAGAGAGCCCGGGCGGAAATTTGTAGAATTTTTGTGAAAAAGCATTGGGTTTTTGATGTTTTTATGTTGAAATGCTTGCAAACACACGGTGTTCGGTAGGATTCTGACATGAACGCGCGCGTGTGCTCTTTGTGGTATTTTTTGCAATGGATTATCGCCGTGGACGACAGGACGTCCATGTCGAGAGGAAAAAATAAGAAAAATGTTGATTTTGTATTGTTTTTTACAGGTTAGGATGGGACCACCCGGATGGGGCCCCTATCTGCCGGCCTGAGGGGGGAGTAGGAGTATATTCTAATAAGGAATAAGGATAGGAGGAGAGGAGGAGGAGGAGGAGGAGGAGAGGAGGAGGAGGAGGAGGAGGAGGAGGAGGAGGAGGAGGAGGAGGAGGAGGAGTGGCGGGGCTTCGCTGCCGATTGGCTGGTGAATGCCCCCGTGGGCGTCCACGAGGCAGTGGGCAGGGGCAGGGGTGAGAGGATGGAGGGGGAGGAGGAGAGGAAGTATGGCGTTGTCCCTCCCAAACGAAGACCTAGCAACAAAGGATGGTTGGACACCAAAATGAGGCGAACATCGATTTGGAATCATTCTCAAACTCCTTCTCACCTCTCCTTGGCCTCTCCATTCTTCTCCTCATGCCTCTCTCCCTCTCTCTGTCCCTGTCTCTCTGTTCAGGAAGAGGCTCTCCCGCGAAGCAATCTCGAATAAACTTGCGCACTATTTTTTCCATCGGCATCGCTAGAGGGCCCGCTCGCCTTGCCAATGCCGACCCACCTGCCACAGGAAACGGTGCGCAATAATCCCTCCGTACATGAACATGGGGCCAAGAGGAGGAGGAGGAAGAGGATGATGATGATGAGGAGGATGATGATGAGGAGGAGGAGAGGAGGAGGAGGAAGAGGATGGTGATGAGGAGGAGGAGGACGAGGACAAGGAAGAGGAGACACATGGGAGGGATAGGGCTGCCCTGGCAAGTGATGGCGGCGTGCGGTGTTGCGCCTAGACGTCTAGACGTCTGGTGGCCCCAGGCGGCCAGTACTAACATTCAACACCACATGAGTGAAGGGGCCCTGGGACACACACATAAACGCACACAAATAACAAGATTCCCAATATTTTCCAGTATTTTTGTGTGTTTTTGTTTCCCCCCACTTCCCATATTTTCCAATCTTTTCCCGGGAAATCGATGATTCATCGTGTTTGTTTTTTCCCTCCTAAATGAGGTGGGACGGCGAAGAGGGGGAGGAAGAAGACAAGGAGGAAACAGACACACGCGACGAGCCGCGATGCACTCGCCCTCGACACGAGGCGTCCACAAACTTTATGCACTCCGAGATGTTGGAGGCCATTCTGAAAGTAGACAACGATGCCGTTCACCTCTTAGAGTTTCAGATCCTCGGTGTTGTCGGGTCAGGCCCCATGCCTGAGGCGAACCATGATGGCGAACGCGGCCAGCAACAGGTCAGTTTGCATGTTTCGGCTTGACCTGAGAGCCATGGAGTTGATGAAGTTTCTCTTCGTCCCGAAGATCCACTTCTCGGAGGTGGCAAACTCTTCAATGGGGGCAGGACCGCTGTTGGTGCCAAATTCCCAGCGGCCATGGGGAACTGCCCAAACAGTCATGCATCACAAGCTCCCACATGTGCGAATGTGGGCAAACTCGATCTTTTCGCGGCCATCAAGGACTACCTCCTGGCCGAAACAAGGGCCATGCTCAGGCTCGACGACGAGTCCGACGATGGCAACGACTCCGACGCTGGTAAGGGCACTGTCACGCCTGCCTTGGTCTTGGACAAAGCAAGGCTGGCCGAAGCAAAGGCTATGCTCGGAACTCGATGACAAACTCGATGATGACAACGACTCCGACGCCGGTAGCAACCAGCACGCCTGCCTCCACCTTGGACGAGGCAGAGCTGGCCGAAGCAAGGACCATGCTTGGGCTCGACAGCGACGACGAGCCCGAAAATGGCAACGACACAAGCACGCCTCCCATGAGGGTGGCACGGGCCGACTCAGAAAGGTCCGAGAGTGGCCACGCCCTGGAGTGGGAGAAATGGCACTCGCGCGACTGGTCACGCGCGGCTACCTCGAGCGACGCTCAGTGCTTCGCCGGCGTCTTCGAGCGTATCTTCGTGGCGACCTTCGTTACCCTTGTCGTGACTCTACGTCGCCGCAGTGCTTCGCACAGGGCCTTCATTCTTGTTGTGATGACCTACGGTGCTGGCCAACACCTTCGGCATCTTCCAGATGGCCTAATGTACCCTTCAAGTCGGACCAACAAACTATGCTGCGTGAGCTGCGCCTTCACGTAGCAGATGCGGTACTATCAGTACGTCTAACCCAGCGTGATGGTATTGTACTGCATCATTCCCCCAAATCTGAATGTAGCCACGGGCGATCTGCAGTGCCGCCTGGCGCCCTTAGTGGGAATCACCAGGTTTTCAATGTGCGGTCTGAGCAATTGAGAGGCTACCTGTGCTTCATGGGAGGGTTGTACTTGGCTAGCATCGTATTCACGTGTAGCAAAGTGATAATATCGGTACCGCCCGGTTATTGTAGTGAAACGTCCGCTAACCCCAATGTTTGTCTGATGTGTTTTAAAGCCGTCCTGTTGCATCTGTTAGCTGTCACGAGTACGTTAAGCAACGCATGATTCTGGTATCAGCCTTGGCTCCATTTACCTAGAAATTTTCGAATATTGACACAGTTTCGCTTTGCACACAAATTTCAATCAATGAAATTATCGAAGGGGGCAATCATGGTCTCCGTGGTATTGCTTGTTTGACCGTTGCAACTTATTTCCCACGATCACATTATCGATCTCCGCGGCCATCGTCCCAAGATTATCCGTCACTTCTTCGTTTTCGTCCTCGCGAACTACCTCTTAACATTGCTGATCGCGGAAGTCGGTAACTTCTCGATTCTGCTCTCGCGCCTGTTTGTTGATGGGGTGGATAGATCGGTCGTGCTTGGCCTGTGAGATCGAGGTGAGACAGGTGTCGCTGCCGTCGCCACAGGCGGGCAAATACGAATCGAGTAGCCTGGTCAAATCTAATGCGAACCATTGTCCCCGGTCGATCGTGAGGTACATGTTGATGTGGTCTGTACCGCCATGCTCACTTCGCTCCGCCACCACGCAAGCCCTTGCCATAATCTACTTTTCCAGGATGGCGGAATGTGGGCGAGGAAGCTGAGATTCACAAAACACTTGAGCCAAACTGCCACCATAAATTTCTGTCGCATCGCACGGGTCATTCTGAACCCTCGTTGTCCTCCTCCTCCTCTTCCTCTTCGTGGTTCTCCGTTTCAGAACTCTGCGGGGTTTTCCAGAGACCCTTGGAGGTCCCCGCGAACCTCCGGGAAGGCCAAACTCAAGCCCACACTGCCTCGCTGTTAATACATCATTCGGAGGTCCGCGCGGATTCCTTGGGTAGGCGCTGACAACCGTTCCCCTGGCGTGCGAAGCGCGAAAGGGGCGGCGCTAGAGGCGCCGCCATAGGGCTCCAACGCCAACCCAAGAAACCCGCACGGCCCTCCGAAAGTCAATGGTTACCGTTTTATTCGGTGCATGAAGCTGTGGTCTCTTGCACCTGCAGCGTCTAAGAGGCTTCGTACGTTTCCGAAGTTTCTGTTCTTCGATAGGTGCCCCCATAGGGGTTCGTTTCGCTAGAGCTCCCGAACGAGCTCCTGAACGAAGTGAACCGCCACCCCCCCCCTTAGACATCGTGGGGGGGCGGGGTAAGGTTCCCATGTGGGCGATTTCGGAAACCCCGAACTCAGAATCGTTTCCATCTCTTTGGGGGTGCATCTTTTGCTTCCGCCGCCTTCCGCCGGCCTTCCGCCAGTCTCCGCCGGCGGGGGCGGCCTCGTCTTACTTCCGCCGACCTCCCGCCGCCCTCCGCCGGAGGGAGAGACGGCAACTCCTTCGGTCCTCGAAGGCAGGGCCCTTTTCCGAGGAACCGAACTTTCTACACCGATGCTTCTTTCCGGTCCCGCACTGATATCCGCACAAGAAAACGGATTCTGGTGCATACGGCATCCTGGTGTGTACATGCTTTGTTGTTTCCACGGGGAAGCGGGGACAAAAAGTATACACCACACCACCCCGACGTCGTCTCCGACCCTCCACAGATCCGGGGATCGAACAACAGCCCGCCACTGGTGAGGTGTACGTTCCAGCTCCCGACTTTCCAGAACGCTCCGCGTGGTCACCGATACGAGCCGTGGCCCTCCTCCGTGGCCCTGCCCCCGCGGCCTCCAGGTGCACGCTGGAGCCCCCCCGCACCGACGGGGGCTGCCCGAGGAACGCCGTCCTGGGAGCGGGGGGGCGGGGCGGCGCGCCGGCCCTGCACGCGCCTGCGCCGGTCCTCGCCAGACCCGTTCCGTGCCAAACCCTCCTCCTCCTCCTCCTCCTCCTCCTCCTCCTCCTCCTCCTCCTCCTCCTCCTGCTCCTCCTCCGTCGCCTCCTCGTCATCCTCCACCCCGTCGCCTCCTCTTCCTCCTCCCCCTCCTCCTCCTCCTCCTCCTCCTCCTCCTCCTCCTCCTCCTCCCTCCTCGCCCTCCTCGTCATCCTACTCTTCCTCCTCCTTCTCGTCGTTCTCCTCCTCCTCCTCCTCCTCCTCCTCCTCCTCCTCCTCCTCCTCCTCCTCCTCCTCCCCCCCCTTACTGTCAGACCTAAGACGGAAGAGAACCCCTCAAAAGCACGAGGCCCTCCGCCGGCCCGAGCACACAGAACATCCAAGGGTGCCCTCACCAGGATGCCACAAAAGCATCCGACGAGCACGGAGAACACTGGGGTATACCCCCCTCGAATTGACCTCGATCTCATGCCTCGGTCCGACCGTGGTTCCTGGACATCCTGCGGCTCGAGAAGACAGGCGGGACGTACATGTACTTTCCAGGCCTCGCCCCTGGGCCATCAGAAGCGCATTCCTATAGTCCTACCACGACATGCTCTTAGAGCACACGAAGGAAAGACATTCACAATCACTGTTCTTACAGCATGAAGCCGATGTCCTGACACAAGATCATCTCAGCCAGACATGTTCTAAGAACATCTCGTGCACACCACAAAAGTTTCTTGGAACGCTAGGCATTCCCTGGATCCATCTATCGGCACCAATCGGGAGCTGTCTGCGGCTGGGGGGGCATCTGTTTTGGGCGGTCTGGTGCAAAAAACGATCGCACTCACACCCCCTCCCGGGCACACACCTCCTTTGCGGGATCCCGAGCCGTTCTTTGGTGGGCCCGTGGGCAAGCCAGGACGCTTCACCTCTGCTCGAACCCTACGGAAGGGGGTCGAGAGGTTTTTTGGGGGGGCCCTGCCTCCAAGAGAGATCTCGCCGCCGAGTGTCTTGGAACGCTCTTGTGTGGGCCCGTGGGCAAGCCGGGACGCTCCGCCACCGCTCGAAGCCTACGGAAGGGGCGTCGAGAGGTCCGCTAGGGCTCCCAACTTCGCGCTTCGCGCTCCGCGAAGCGCGAATAACTTCGCGCTCTCGCGCCACCCCCCAAAAGGGAGAAAAGGAGGACGAGGAGGACCGCGAAGGGAGAAAAGGGCGCCTGCCCCCCAAAAGGCAGAAAAGGGGAGAAGGCACGAGGACCGCGAAGCGCGAATAACTTCGCGCCCTAGTGGGAGCCCTTGGGTCCGGGGGCGGACCTGCCGCCAGGGGAGAGAGGGAGGGATCCAGCCGCGGAGCATTCTGGGCGGCCGACGCGCCGAGGCCGCAAAAGTTTTGAGCAGGGGCCGGCCGTCCCCGGCATGCCTCCTGCGGGCCTACCGCGGCACGGCCCTGGAGCCTAAGCCATGGTCTAAGAGCACAAGCCATGCTCAGAGACCGTGTCCCGGCATGGACCGAAACCCCCCTTTAGTGAAAACCTCCCCTTAGTGAACCTCCCTTTAGTGGACCTCCCTTGAGTGAACCTCCCTTTAGTGGGCACAAGAGGTGGTGGACAAACCTCCCTTTAGTGAACCTCCCTTCAGTGAAAACGGCCTAGGACCGAAACCGACGGGCCTGGACCTGCACACATGACGGCCGCGACGCCCTCTCGCGAACCGAAAACGGCCAATTCCTTAATCGACGTGTCAGGGTAGGAGGTCTATCAACCTCCGAAAACCATGTTCTAAGACCGTGTCCCAGCATGCCTCCTGCATGGCCTACCGCGACGTGGTTCTACGAGCACAAGCCATGCTCTTCGAACGTGGCACTGATTTGTGGAAGGACAAGGCAGCGGACGGCCGAGGAGATGCTCTGGGAGCACCTCGTGCAAACCGCAAGAGGCTCTCCGAGCATCCCCTGGTGGGCCTACAGGAAAGCAGGAGGAGGAGGAGGAGGAGGAGGAGGGGGAGGAGAGGGAGGAGGAGGAGGAGGAGGAGGAGGAGGAGGAGGAGGAGGAGGAGGAGGAGGAGGAGGAGGAGAAGGAGGAGGAGGAGGAGGAGGAGGAGGAGGAGGAGGAGGAGGAGGAGGAATGACGGATCAAACTCCAATGTTTCCTCAGTCCTTTCCGGGCCTCCCTGGGTGCACTCGTGGCCACGGCCGGACGGGCAGGGCGGTGCAGGCTGGCGAGGGCGCATCTCAAGAAAGGCCCAGGGATCCGTCTTGGGCCGGCCAGGGCGAGGAGGGCGGCATCCTGAGGAACCAACTAGGTCACAAAACCATCCCCCATAATAACCACTCCGATACGCGAAGCCGTTTAGTCTAAAGAAGGAACCGAACAGGGCAGGGCTGTTTAGTAAACGCCCAGGGCCTTTTAGTAAAAGCCAATTGTCGGGTCCTGGTGATTTTTCCGCCCTTGACCAAAAGGGCCTCTCGGAGGAGCCCCGCCCTCTTCTCGGAGGCATCCGGCAGGCTTCTCAGGAGGCAGGAGGACTTCCAAGAGGCGGGGCGCCTTTCACGACCAGTGGACATACCCGCATCTGCGCCCTCGCGGTCTGGATTCTGGGGTGTGATCCCGCGGATGCGCGTTCGTACGGATACGTTCCGCGCGGGGCATTCGCGGAAAGACGCCCCGCATCCGCGGGGTCGCGGCCCAGAGGCCCCGTCGGTCGGAAGAAGTTGGTAGAAGCGTGAAGTAGAAAGACAGATGTTGGAAGCAGACTGGGCTCCATCGAGGTCGTCGTCGCCGTCTTCGACACCGGCGCCATCGATGTCGTCGTTGAATCATCATTTCTACAAGAAAACGCTGTTGGTCTATAGAATCGGTTCCAGATCCTCTCGCTTCGATGCTGGCTGCATTTTCTATGAAGCCGAGGCTCCCGCTCGAGCGCGGGCTTGCTTCCCAATCCTGGCTCTTGAAGGCCCAATTGCGACGACAACGGCTTCCGCTCGATGCTTCCTCATAGTTTACTCCGAGACGCCGTGGCGAAAGAGGCACCCAAACCCAGGGATGATGCTCGCGCCCGCGACCTCCTGGCAACTCGAGCAAGTTGGCGAAGGCTCAACTACTCCGACAACGGCTTCCCCTCGATATTTCCTCATAACTTACTCTGAGACGTCCTGGCCAGATAGGCCCAAAAACTCAGGAATGGCGCTATCGCTTGAGAGTTCTTAGCAAGACAGGTTCGGTAAAGGCTCAAGTTCGACGACAACGGCTCTCGCTCGATACCTCCTCCCGATTCAATCCGAGAGGCCATGAGAGAAAAAGGCCCGCAAACTCAGGAATGGCGCTTTTGCCCGCGAATTCTTGACAGTTCGAGAAGGTTGGCGAAGACCCAACTACAACGACTGCGGCTCCTACTCGATTCCTCTTCGTAACTTGCTCCGAGACGCCCTGGCCAGAGAAACCCCCAAACTCATGAATGGCATGGCGCTCTCGCCCAAGACTTCCTTGCAAGTCAATTGGGCTTGGCGAGTCCCAGCTACCACGACAACGGCTGCCGCAAGCCATGGAGAAAAAGACACCCCAAATCAGGAATGGCGCTCTTGCCAGTGAATTCCTGACAATAGAGGAACAACACAACGGCATAAACATATGTTTTTGGAGGTCCGCGTGGATTTCTTGGATCTGACCTGGGCCCCCCTCCCTGGCGCGCGGAGCGCGCCAGGGGCGGCGCCGGAGGCGCCGCCAGGGGGTTCCAACGCAGATCCAAGCAATCCTCGCGGAGCTCCAACAATTTATATTCATGCCGGGTTTAGATATTCGAAACACTTTGATCACACTAACACAGCCCAACTACAACGACTGCGGGCTCCCGCTCGATACCTCTTCATAACATGCTCGGAGACGCATTGGCGAAAGAGACCCCCCAAACTCAGGAACGGCGTTCTCGCCCAGGACTTCCTTGCAAGTCAATTGGGTCTGGCGGAAAACCCACCCAATTACGACGACAACGGCTCCCGCTCGATACCTCCGTGGGACTTCCTCTGGGAAGCCGTGGCCAGAGAGACCCCCAGACTCGGGAAGGGTGCTCTCGCCAAACATTTCTTTGCAGTTCAAGCGAGCTGATGAAGGCCCAACTACGAGGACAACGGCTCCCGCTCGATGGTTCCTTGTAGTTCACTCGCGTGGGCCCTGGTTATATGCAGTGTCGCACTAAGGAACGGCGCTCTAGCCCGAGACTCCTTGCAACTCATTCAAGCTGGTGAAGGCTCAGTTGCGACGACGATGGCTACCGCGGAGCGGCGTTCTCTGTAGAGACTCCTGGCAAGTTGCTCAAGTTGGTGAGCTTCCCTTGGGCGCCCATGGCGGCTCGGTGCGCATTCCGAGGGCTCTTCTGAACTTCTCCCAAGAGCCGGCATGAAAAGAAGCCCCACACAAAAAAGGGGTCGGTTCATGGACTTCGCGGGCGGGCGCATGGGGAGAGGGAGAAGCAAATGAAGGTCACATCAGTCTGTGAGATCACGTGTTGACAACGTAGAGGCCTCCAAGATGGGGTCGGAGAGGATGGGGTCGGGGGATCGCGCCGCATCGCCGATGGAGGGAGAATCAAGTGAAGGTCAAATCAGCTTGTGAGATCATGTGCTGTCAGCATGGTCGTTATCGTTGTCGTTTTCGTCGTCGTCGTCGCCGCCGCCGCCGCCGCCGCCGTCGTCGTCGCCACCGTCGTCGTCGTCGTCGTCGTCGTCGCCGCCGCCGCCGTCGTCGTCGTCGTCGTCGTCGTCGTCGTCGTCGTCGTCGTCGTCGTCGTCGTCGTCGTGGTCGTCGTCGTCGTCGTCGTCGTCGCGTGCGGTTTGGCGCGCCCCCCCCCGAAGCCTGGGCGTCGTCAGCACGGGCGTCCGGCTCCCCGTCGTGGAGGCCAGCACCTGGGGCGCCGCCTGCTGGAGCGGCATGCAAGGCACGCCGAAGACCGGCGAGGTGGACCTCCCGGCCACGGCGGCGGAGGGGGGGGAGGAGGGGGAGGAGGAGGTGGAGGAGGGAGGAAGGGAGGGATGAGGAGGATGAGAGGGAGGAGGATGAGGAGGATCGGAAGGCAGGGTACACCGAACACTGGCGAGTAGGAGGAGGAGGAGGAGGAGGAGGAGGAGGAGGAGGAGGAGGAGAGGAGGAGGGCGGAGGAGGAGGAGGAGGAGGAGGAGGAGAGGGAGGAGAAGGATCGGAAGGGAGGGCACGCCGAACACTGGCGAGGTGGACCTCTGGGCCACGAGGCGGAGGAGGAGGAGGAGGAGGAGGAGGAGGAGGAGGAGGAGGAGGAGAGGAGGAGAGGAGGAGAGGAGGAGGAGGAGGAGGAGGAGGAGGAGGAGGAGGGAGGGAGGGGAGGAGGGAGGGGAGGAGGTCGGAGGAGGAAAAGGTACCCAAACCTCTGCTCCCTTGCCTGTTTTCCCATCTTTAGGGTTCCTGGGCGGCCCTCGTCGCCTCGTCGCCACCGCTGGATTCGCCTCGAGATCCTGGTCAGAACGCACCCCAGGAGAGGTCCGAGGGGTGGCGGCATCGGTACCTGTTGGTTTCCCTAGCAGGAGGAATGAAGAGAAGGAGAAAGAGGACGCGGTGTGACGAGGAGAGCAGGACGAGGAGCCTGCCGGCATGGAGGAAGAGCGATGAGGAGTCGGGAGAACGAAAATGGACGATGGACGAAGATGATGATGCTTCCTTTTCCCGGAAAAGGGCCTAAGCCCAATGTTCACTTTCAGTGTGGTAAGCGTGTCCTCGGTGCGCTTTTTGAAGAGGGCCGGCGGACGTCCGCTCGATACAAAAACTGGGCGAAGTCTCACTTCCAGTTCAAAGAGTGCGTTTGGTGCGTGCCTGGTCGAAGAAAGCCCACCCCCACGTTGGACCCTCGATGAACAACGGGGTCCGCAGGACTCCATTGTCCGATGTGAAGAAAGGTGCGGAGCGTTCTGCGCAGAATCGTCGACGAAGAACGGGGTCTGGAGGCCCAGAAACTGAACTGAAAATGCAAGCACATCGCTTTTGTGCGTGAGGGCAAACGGATGGCGCGTCCTGCGCGCAGAATCCTCGAGGATTGATCGAGCGAAACGCGTGCTTTGAAGAAACGCCCTGGGTGGTCCAGGCGGATGTCTACAAATGAGGATTAGTTGAGGATGTCTCTGGCGCCGCGCTCGTTTTCGGGTGTCCAGGTCGCCCAAGCGGATGTCTGATACGAGAATTTGTCGAGGATGCCTCGAGCGAAACGGTTTGCTTTCACGTGTCCAGGTCGCCCAGGCGGGTGTCTAACATGAGGATGTGTTGAGGATGTCTCAGCGAAAAGCTTTTTTTTCGTGTTCATGTCGCCCAGGCGGATGTCTAACATGAGGATCCGTCGAGGGTGTCTCGAACGTAACGCTCATTTGCCCGTGTCCATGTCGCCCTGGCGGATATCTAACATGAGGACTTGTTGAGGGCTGCCACTGCCATCATGTCTCGCACGCGCCCATTCCACTACTACAGCAGGCGATATGCTTCTGAATGTTCGCTCTGGCCATATCTCTGATTATCGATAAGGCCCGCCACCACTTCTTGACATTCTCGCACGCACTCGTGGAACTGTTCAGCTGATGGGGTCCGGCTTCAGCTTCACTGCGCGCATCTCTTCAAATACAGGCAGCGCTTGCTGCCAGTCCATTTTCCCCGAACGCGCTAATAGCAACAGCGAACATGAATCCGTCCGATTCCAATTTTTTGATCTTAGAGTCCCTGAACAACGACAATACCTGCTGCCGCTACCCAACACTCTTCCGCACGCGCCCACCCCAGCATTGAAGCTGACCGCGTTCGGCTCTAGCTTCACCTCCCACGTCTCGCTGAGCAGTGACAAGGCTCGCTGCCACTGCTGACCTTTCCCGCATGCGCTGACCCCAACACTATGACCGATAGTGTTCGGCTCCAGCTCTGATCCCGACATCTCGCGGAGCAGCGACAAGGCCCGCTGCCACTGCTGACCTTTCTCGCAAGCGCTGACACCGACGCTGTAGGTGACCAGTGTGAGCCCGTGGCTTAAATCCACGGTGTGCTGAACCTGGGACTCACACACCGCGGGTGCACAGCTCGTCGAAAGTGAACAGCTCGGGCGTCCTTGGGGCCTTGTCGGGGGCATGTTGGGCCCTCCTGCGAGCCTGTCAGGAGCGTCTTGAAGGCCTCTGACGATTTTTGGGCGCCAACCTCTGACGAGCCCCAGAGGCTCCTAGTGTGGCCCGGAAAGGCCCAAGCAGGGGCCAACAAGGGCTCCGTACGGCCCTCCAGGGGGCACCCGGCGGATGCTCCAACGGGGGGGTCCGCTATAGCATCCTTCGGGGGTCGGCGTCAGCCTGTCTGGAAACGATGAAGAGGAGCTCGTGGGCCTCTCCGAACAGGGCCGTCCACACCCGCAGACCTCCCAGAGAGGTCCAGGACGGCCCCAGGAGGCGTCAGAACTTTTCCCCCTGCGAGTGCGGACAAGGCCCCCGACGGATGCTACAGCTGGTGAGTGCGTTGTAGCATCCGTGGGGGCTCGCTCGCGAAGGCCCGAAGACGGCCGAAGGAAGGGCCACGGGCCCAAAGCCGTCGGGGGCCTGTCTTGGGCAGGCTTGGGGCCCTCTTGGGCCGTCTTGTTGCGCTCGTCGGGGCCTTGTGGGCCATTGTGGGGCGATCGTGAAACTGCCTGGGCCGTTCTGGGCCTGTCCTGGCGAGAGCGTGGGGAACATGGGAAACACACACAAGGTTCTTGCCTGAAGTCTGGTCTCGTTGGTCCGTCTTCGGGGTCCTCGTGGGCCCTCCTGGGCCGTACTATGGGGGCCCTTGGGCCATCTTCGGGCCATGATGGGGCTGGGCCGTTTGGGAGTCCTGCTTGGGCCCGCCTGGGCAGCTCTTAGACTCTTGGGGCGTCTCCCTGCAGCTCCGTGAGGCTCGCAAGGGGCCTGCTCCTGGCCCTTCTCTGGGGCCCTCGCTGGCCGTCTTGGCCAGCTCGTGAGGACCTCTTGGGCCATCCCGGCGCGATCGCAGAAAGACCTGGAGCCGCGTGGAGCCGTGTGGGGCCGTTCCGAGGCCGTCTGGGCGGCGTGTCCCGCGGGCCTCTTGTGGCTATCTTGTGAGTCTCTCGTGGGGGGTATTCTCGGGATTCGTTGGGCCCTCTGTGAGCTCTCGTGGGCAATCCTGGGGCCCTCTGGAGCCGTCTTGGAGAGCTCGGGCTGTCTTGGGGCCCCCTTGGGGTTGTCCCGAGCTCTCTTGTCGGGCTTCTCTAGCTGTCTCGGGGCTGTCTTGGGGGCCCTCTTGGGACGTCTTGGAGGTCTCAGGGGCCGTCTTGGGGTCGTCTTGGGCCGTCTTGGGGCCCTCTTGGCAGCCTCTAGTGACGCCTTGGGGCGGTCTTGGGGGCCTCTTCGGCCATGTGTGGGACGCTGCGCGGACCCCAAAAGCGACTTTGGCCCACATGCACGTTTTCCTAAAAAGTATGGTACGCTTTTGGCTTAGTGGTCCTTTCGGGGGCCTCTTGAGGCGGCGCTTGGGGGCGTCTGGGCCTGTTCTCTGCGCGATCGGAGGCGCTTCGAACCGCTCAGTGGCGACGCAGACGGCCGCCAGACGGCCGCTAGGAGCGGCCCGGCGGCACGGAAGAGCTCCGACCCGGAGCGCCTCGGAACGGCCCAGAGGGGGTCAATTCGCTGCTACCGCTCTCCGTCCCCGCGAGCGCGGGGGGCGGCATGATAGTACAGATGATGCGGGCTTCCAGCTTTAGCTGCAGCATCTCGCTGAGCAAGGACAAGGCCCGCTGCCACTGCTGACCTCTCTCGCACGCACTGATCCCAGCGTCACAGCTGACTAGGGTTGACCCGTGGACTCATGTCCACGTCAGCCTGCCCGCGTGCAAACATTGAGATCGCTTATCTGCTTGCCTGCTGTCCTGCGCGTACGGCTTCTGGCCAAATAGTTTTCTTCCAGATGTTCCTGCCAGCATGGCATGGTGATCGTTTTTTATTCATTGTTTTGCCGATCGGCGCGGGCCCTCGCACTCCCCCTCCCCCACCTCCCTCCTGGAGTAGATCTTGGCTGGTTTGGGCGCCTGTTTCGAGCAGGCTGAGTCTCCCCTCCTAGGACCCACGGCTCCAAACAGCCGCACTAAGCAGAGGTCCGGAGCCAGACCTCTCCCCCCCCTCCCGCCCCCCTTCCGCCCAACGCCGAAACGCCGAATAGAAAAAACGCTCACCAGATGTTCCTGCCGGCATGCTGGCAGGTCCATGGGGGGGTGCCAGGGACGTAACGAAGTGAGAGGAGGCGCCATGAACTCTGAGGAAATCTCATGGCCCACGCCATGATATCCCCCCCCCCCCTAGTCATCACGCCCCTCTCTGCCGCCCCCGAGCTGTTCCTGCTGGCATTGCTGGCAGGCCTGGGGGCCGCAGTAGACCCCCTGCCGCACGCGACGGCGTGCGGGGATGGCCGCCGGCGTGCCGTGGGCAAGGGCTGCGGCTGCCTGCTCTCTGCTGCTGGCTGCTCACTGCTGGCGCTGCTGGCTAGTGTGCTGCCGGATCTGGAGACGCTGCTGGGGTGAGGTCGGGCATGTCCTCCTGCCGGGGGATTTTGGACGAAAAATCAAAAATACTCAAAGCATAGCCCCAAAAGGAGAAGAATTGATAGAAACATCGTCCCCAGACTATCTATTTTTTGAAATTATTTTTGAATAATCCTCCTGTAGAGGGACAGGCCCGATTTAATGCGAGCTGCTCCTTGCTGCCGCTGCTGGCTTGTGTGCTGCCCGATCTGGAGACGGCGCGGGGGGACCCTGTGGCCGTATGATTAAGGGGAGCGTCTGGGGGCGCGTCGGACTGTCGGGGAGCCCTTCGAAGCCGTCTCCGGCATTCTGGGATCCCTCTGGGGCCGTCCTGGGCCCCTCCTGCGGCAATCTAAAACGGTCCAGAAGGCCCGAAGACGGCCCGAAGACGGACTAAGATAACCCCTGGAGGCCCCGAAGATCGCTCAAGGGGCCCCGAGGAGGCCCCGAAAGAACCCAAGGTGGCCCGCAGACTTCAACACAACAAATCAACGTAACTGATGCGCCCTCATAATCCTGAATCCTTCCCCAAACATCGTTTTTGGTATGCTGACCATGGGAATCCGTGAATGTCTTGCAAATTTTGTGCGCGGAGCTGGAGCGAGAGCCACATTTTGAAAGGAACCGCCTTTAATCCGTGAAGCCATTGCAAATTTTGAGAACGAATGTGCGCGGCGCTAAAGCGAGAACCACATTTTGAACACCACCCGCCCTCAATCCGTGAAGCTCTTGCAAATGTTGAAAACGAATGTGCGCGGCGCTCAGGCGAGAACCGCAATTTGAAAACCACCCGCCCCCAATACTCCTGCAAAATTTGAAAACGAATGTACGCGGCGCTAAGGCGAGAGCCACATTTTGAAAACCACCCGCCCTCCATTTGTGAAACTGTTGTCCTTTTTAAAGCTCCAGGGTCATAAGTGGTGAGAACGTCTCGAGCGAAACGCCCTGCCCGCCCTAAAAACTGGCCACTTATTTAGGAAAATTTGGAGGAGGAGGAGGAAGAGCGACCGTGGCCTTAGAGGAAGGAGAAAAGGAGGAGAAGGAGGAGGAGGAGGAGGGGGAGGAGGAGGAGGAGGAAGCCTTGCTCGACTTTCTCGGCGCATCGGCCCGCGGACTTCTCGACCCCCCTGCCCTGGCGGCGTCGACGCCCCGAGCCGCTTCTCTGGCGACCCCGGGGGCCGAGGCCGGCCTGCAGGGGTGCCCAGAGCAGCGAAGAAGCTGGCCGTCTCGATGTTGTCGAGCCGCTGGAGTCGGCGGCGAGCGAAGGGGGGAAGCGAGAAGCCTTCTCAGAAGGCGGGGGGCTTCCCTGAAACCCTGGCGCCTTCAGAGGAATTGTTTGTGCTTGCGGGGAAGGCTCAAGGAACTCCTTCAGAAGGCCCGGGGTCTTCCGCGCGTTCGGAGAAGGCGCGCCCGTTCTCATTTCCCCCCCCCGGGCCCGCCGCCGTTCGATGTCCAACGTATGGAACAAATCAAAGCGACGGTTTTTCTCAGATGAAGGCCCTCGCCGCGCCCCGGGGCCCCAGGGCCGTGGGCAAACCCTGGGAGTTGGTCGGGGCTTCCGGGGGCCCCGCAACGAAGAAATCAGGACATCGGGTATTTAGGTCGGGGTCTCCCCGTGTCCCCCCCCCGCCGCGGTGGCCTGTGCCTCGCAGCGGTCCCGATGGTCAGCCCCTGAACGGGCGGAGCGGCGGGCGCGTGGGACGACACGCGCAGTCGGATGACGGACAGGGAATGCAAAATGAAGCGAAGACGATGGAGTTGTGTGTGTGTGCCCCCCAGCTTCGGCTCAGTGCAGCTCGGTGCAGCTCAGTGCCGGCGCTGGTCTCCCACCTCGGCGCTCGCTCCGCCGCAGTCGGCAGCTCTAAGTGGCCGGGCTTCCTCTGCCCCTGTCGCGCTGGGGCTCCTCCTCCTTCTCCTCCTCCTCCTCCTCCTTCTCCTCCTCCTCCTCTGTGCATGGCGGCTTTAGTTAGCATGCAATGTGTTCCCTGTTGTCATTCCGCCAGGGCAGTCACCGTCTGCCCAGCCGCCGACGCGAAAAGTGTGTGTGTGTGTGTCTATTTGTGCGTGCTGATCCTCGCTTGGCTGTGCCTCTGTGGGATCTTCGCCAACAGCGCACGGGCCGACACATGCGCTCTCCTTTGGAACACAATGTGCGTATGTTTTTGTTGTCGTTGCTGTTGCTGTTGCTGTTGCTGTTGCTGTTGCTGTTGCTGTTGCTGTTGCTGTTGCTGCTGCTGCTGCTGCTGCTGTTGTTGTTGTTGTTGTTGTTGTTGTTGTTGTTGTTGAACATTATTAATTCTAAAAAATAATTATTGTTGGGGCCCCTGGTGCACGGCCCCCCCGCCGCGCCTAGGCCGCAGCTACATTTTCATCATTTTTTCGCGAAAGCTTCAGAAAAGTGGATGGGGTCCAGATCCGGTTGTTTTGTTGTAATCCGTTTTCCCTTGCAAAAAACACTATAAAATGACATTTCTTGTTCTAATATAATCAAATTTCAAGAATCCCTTGCAAAAAATAAGGTAAAGTGGACATTCGCGCGCGCAAGACGAAATCCTTCCAAAAGCTTAGTGTTCGGAGCGATTTTAACATAAAAACATCAAAAAACCAATGGTTTTTCAACAAAAAAATGTCAAAATCTCATCCCGCGCGCTCTTGCGGATTCGTAGGAAACCCAACACTTTTTAAACATTTCTGTCAAACGGGCTTTTGCGAGCAACTTTTTCGAACTTCTGCGACAACGGTTGCGCACCTGCCAGGGCCATCATCCCTGTCAAATAATACCATGCGGGACACATTCGTTTTTTCTTCGCGCGCGCACGCCGTCGTCGTCGGCCGCGGGGCCCTGAATAGTAGCCACGGTCGTCCGCATGCCACGAAGTGAAGTGTCCGAACGTCATAGGGCGGGAAGCTGGGTGTGGGTGGTGGCGAAGAGTCGTTTGGAAATTTGGTAGAGCTTGAACCGGCCCCCCCACAAAGTGGGGGTATTGCCCGCCTCCTATGAAAACCCTGGCACTGGTGAGAACGGAGTGTCCCCACGTGCTAGTAATTGTTGTTGTTGAATATTATTACTTCTAAAGAAATATTATTGTTGAGACCCCTGGTGCGCGACCCCCCTCCAAAACCTAGGCCGCAGCCTCATTTCCTTCATTTTCTAGCGAAAGCTTCAGAAAAGTGGATTGTGTCCGGATCCGGTTGTTTTGTTGTAATCCGTTTTCCCTTGCAAAAAACACTATAAAATGAAAATTCTTGTTCTTACTTGATCAAATTGCAAGAATCCCTTGCAAAAAATAAGGTAAAGTGGACATTCGTGCGCGCAAGACGAAATCCTTCCAAAACCTTAGGTTTCGTAGCGATTTTAACATAAAAACATCAAAAACCCAATGGTTTTTTAAGAAAAAATTGTCAAAATGTCCTTCCGCGCGCGCTGTCCGAATCCCACAAAACCAATGGTTTTTCAACATTTATGTTACATGAGCTCGCGCGAGCTACTTTTTCTTGTTCTAACATAATCAAATTTCAATAATCCCTTGCAAAAAATAAGGTAAAGTGGACATTCGCGCGCGCAAGACGAAATCCTTCCAGAACCTTAGGTTTCGTAACGATTTCAACATAAAAACATCAAAAACCCAATGGTTTTTCAAAAAAAAATGTCCAAATTTCATCCCGCGCGCGCTGTCCGACTCCCACAAAACCAATGGTTTTTCAACATTTATGTTACATGAGCTCGCGCGAGCTACTTTTTCTTGTTCTAACATAATCAAATTTCAATACTCCCTTGCAAAAAAAAGTAAAGTGGACATTCGCGCGCGCAAGACCAACAAAAAACACGACGATCTCAGGAACTTGCCCCAAAAATGTGACCAACTCCGCTCTCTCTGTCTCTCTCTCTGTCTGCTCTCTGTCTCTCTCTCTGTCTGTCTGTGTCATGTATTGTATGTCACAATTGCAGGATGCTGGGCACACGCGCGCCCCGAATAAGTGACCAAGTTCTGTGGGTGTGTACCCCACGCCAGTGTAGTAGCCACGGTCGTCCGCACGCCACGAAGTGAAGTGTCCCAACGTCATAGGGCGGGAAGCTGGGTTTGGGTGGTCGCGAAGAGTCGTTTGGATATTTGGTAGAGCTTGAACTGCCCCCCCACGAAGTGGGGGTATTGTCTCGCGTCGCATGAAAACCCTGGCACTGGTGAGAACACTGAGCGTTCGGGTAAAATGATTGTTGTTGTTGTTGTTGTTGTTGTTGTTGTTGTTGTTGTTGTTGTTTTGTGTGTGTGCGTCTGTGCCTGTGTGTGTGTGTCTTGCCGGTGAACCCTTACATTCGGGCAGAAATGGCAAGAAAGATTGCACAGCCCGCCGCTGTGGGCGCGTCCCTAACGCCACGCTTCTGCCTTCGTGCTCCTCTGGGCTCCGCCTGGCCAAAAAGCCCTGGCGGGGCTGGTCTGAAGCTGCAGCGTGCCCCGGCATGCCGCTTCTAAGCGTTTCCCAAGGCGTCAGCCCGGCAGCCCTCCAGCAGCTCCTTCGGGAGCTCCTTCGAGAACCCTCTGCACGCCCCGTATGGCGCTACGCCGCCTGGGCTCGGGACTTCTGTGCTCCAGGTCCGCCGGGTCGTGCCCGGCCAGCGCATGCACCTGCGGCCCCGCAGCGGCCTTTTCCACGTGCGCGCGCGTCCCCTGGTCAACACACCCCCTAGTCTAGGTTGGGCATGTCCCCCTCAAGGCGGATTTTGGACGAAAAAAATAAGAATAGTCAAAACATTATCCCAAATGGTCAAACATACTTGGCCCGACTTAACCTGTGTGCTTCTCTGTGTGCTCCGGGTCCGCCGGGGCGTGCCCGGCCAGCGACTGCATCTGCGGCCCCGCAGCGGCCTTTTCCATGTGCGTGCGAGTCCCTTGGTCAACGTCCCCCCCTAGCCTTAGGTCGGGCATGCTCCCCTACAAACGGTTTTTGGACGAAAGACAAAACATAGTCAAACCATTATCCCAAATGGTCAAGCATAACATTTTTTTACCTAGCAGCGAAGACTGATATGTTTCTAGTGGGCTCAAAAGAAAACATCATGACTCCCCAGGGGGGTCTGGGCAGATGCCGGACGGGTGCCGGGGAAAACCGGGGACTCCCCATTTTCACTGCCAGGAGCCACATCTAGACTGTTCGGAGCCAACAGAACACCACTCCCAGGCCACATTTTGAATGCCCGGTGCCAACTGTAGGCCACTTCGTGTTCTTCGTGCTCCAAGAACACCACTCCCAGGCCACATTTTGAATGCCCGGAGCCAACTGTAGGCCACTTCGTGTTCTTCGTCTTCCCAGAACACCATTCCCAGGCCACATTTTGAATGCCCGGAGCCAACTGTAGACCACTTCGTGTTATTCGTGTTCCCGAAACACAATTCCCAGGCTAATTTTGAATGCCCGGAGCCAACTGTGGGCCACTTCGTGTTCTTCGTGTTCCCAGAACACAATTCCTGCACCATATTTTGATTGCCCGGAGCAAACTGTGGGCCACTTCGTGATCTTCGTGTTCCCAGAACACCAGTCCTGTGCCATATTTTGAATGCCCGAGCTGAGGCAGGCTGAGGCCGAGGCAGGCTGAGGCCGAGGCAGGCTGAGGCTGAGGCTGAGGCAGGCGCCGAGGCAGGCTGAGGCCGAGGCAGGCTGAGGCTGAGGCCGAGGCAAGCCGAGGCAGGTTGAGGCTGAGGCTGAGGCTTATGCTGAGGCAGGCTGAGGCTGAGACAGGCTGAGGCTGAGGCTGAGGCAGGCTGAGGCTGAGGCAGGCTGAGGCTGAGGCCGAGGCAGGCTCAGGCCGAGACAGGCTGAGGCTGAGACTGAGGCTGAGGCTGAGGATGAGGCCGAGGCAGGCCGAAGCTGAGACAAGGTGAGGCTGAATGGGGGGGAAGGGGGGGGGGAGGAGGGGAGGCTGAGGCAGGCTGAGGCCGAGGCAGGCTGAGGCCGAGGCAGGCTGAGGCTGAGGCTGAGGCAAGCCGAGGCAGGCTGAGGCTGAGGCTGAGGCTGAGGCTGAGGCAGGCTGAGGCTGAGGCAGGCTGAGGCTGTGGCTGAGGCAGGCTGAGGCCGAGGCAGGCTGAGGCTGAGGCTGAGGCAGGCTGAGGCTGAGGCCGAGGCAGGCTGAGGCTGAGGCTGAGGCGAGCCGAGGCAGGCTGAGGCTGAGGCTGAAACTGAGGCAGGTTGAGGCATCCGTAGGAATCCATAGGAATCCTTAGGAATCCTTAGGAATCCCTAGGAATCCTTAGGAATCCGTAGGAATCCGTAGGCATCCTTAGGAATCCGTAGGCATAGTTAAACATCCTCAGGAATCCTTAGGATTCCATTGGATCCTAAGGCCGTTGCCACTGCGACTGTCATTGCGAATGCGACTGCGACTGCGAGAACAGCAGAATTCTACAGCTGGATTCTCACCTGAATCTTACGGGGAATGCTTCCAGATATGCTTATACACATCGCTGTTGGGTTGCTTTGCCGGGATAATTGTTGGCCATTTTGCCAGACTTACCCTTTGTGCTCCTCTGTGTGCTCTGGGTCCGCCGGGTCGTGCCCGGCCAGCGCCTGCATCTGCGATGCGTGCGCGTCCCCTAGTCAACGCCCCCCCAAGTCTTAGGTCGAGCATGTTCCCCTACAGGCGGATTCTGGACGAAAGACACGAAATATGCAAAACA